AGTCTCTGGTTGAGCCCTTGTGATGACTATATTAATTAAATACATACATACACACATACATACATATTTTGGGTGTAACACACACGCGCCCTAAATCATGCACCTTTCACCAGCATTACCAGCTAATTTAGAATTGTGGGATATTTATGTACCCAACAACTATTATTAGGTCTGCTTCTTTGATTTGTAGTCTCTCTAATAGGTACAGGATAAAGAGAATGGCGCGGTACACCGCTTTTGAAGTGCTGCAGCAATGTCTGGTCTATTATACTATTGATAGTAGGGTGGATATCAGTTCTCAAACCTACCATACAAAGAAAAAAAAATGAGCGTACGAAAATGCAAATATGCTGTTCTGAAGCTATTGTGTTGAACTGTATAGTATGAAGTGGGAGAAAGGACCCTGCAGCGTGAGCGTGAGATTGCCTGGTGATTCTAAGGGAAGCAAACCCTGAAGGAGGTCACTCGCAGTTACCCAGGGGGCAGAAACCCTACTAGGACAGACTGGAAAGCCAAACGCCAACAGGCAGAGATTTTATTGATCTTGGCATCAAGACTGTTGTCTAGTCCACAGCCTTCAGCATCTGAGCACTGCCGTCTGCTTATTTATAGGGCTGGCGTTGAGGATTACCCACCTCGGAGTTTAGAGTGAGACAAGAAAGGGTTTTTGTTAGCTGATGTTGCTTTTCCTTAATTTCGCCTGCTTAATTCCAACTGCTTTTGGAGTGATTGCTCTAGTCCAGCGATTCCACTTTCGGAAATCTGTCCTAATGAAGGAAATAATCAGGGATGGTCAAAAAGACCTGATCATGGGAGAGATTGTCATGGCATTTTAATTGGAAAAAATTGGAAAAGACATAAATGGCTATAAAAATTATATATATAGAATTAATATAGAACATTATGTAGCCATTAATAATTATGTTACAGAAGAATACAACTTGGGAAAAGTGCAAAATATTAAGTGAGGAAATATTTCAAATCATTTTTATGTATTTAAAATACTTGTATTTACTTATTTTTAGACAGCAGGGAAGGGAAGGAGAAAAAGAGGGAGAGAAGCATCAATGTGTGGTTGCCTATCCCGCATCCCCACTGGAGACCTGGCCTGCAACCCAGGATTGTGCCCCAGCTGAGAACTGAATCAGTGACTTTCTGGTTTGCAAGCCGGTACTCAATCCATTGAGCCACACCAGCCAGGGATGAAGACATTTTTTAAAAGGGTGGACTGAAAAACTGAAAGGATAAATACTTCTACATAAAGCCTAGGTTCTGAAGTTAGGTGCCCCAATTGAGTCTTTACTACCACTGTGTGATCTTGAGCAAGCTGCTTCTCTGTGTTTTGGGATAATAGGATGATTGTGAAAATTATGTTAGTTATATAAATTGTTTAGAACAGTGCTTGATATATAATAAGCATCGATACAGTCAAAGATTTACTGGCAAAATATTATTTACAATAGCCAAGATATGGGAGCAACCTAAGTGTCCATCAATAGATGAATGGGTAAGGAAGATGTGGTACATATACACAATGGAATATTACTTGGCCATAAAAAAGAATGAAATCTTAACATTTGTGACAACATGGATGGGTCAAGAGGGTATTATGCTAAGTGAAATAAATCAGACAGAGAAAGAAAAATACCATGTGATTTCACTTATATGTGGAATCTAAAGAACAGAATAAATGAACAAACAAAACAGAAACACACTCATAGATACAGAGAACAAACTGATTATTGCCAGATAGGACGGGTTGGGAGACTAGCTTAAAAAGTTGAAGTGATTAAGAAGTACAAATCTGTAGTTACGAAACAGTTCCATGAATGTAAAATATAGCTCAGGGAATATAGTCAATAATATTGTAATAAATGTGTATGGGTACTAGACTTATTGGGGGGAATCATTTAGTAAGTTATATGAATGTCTAGCCACTATGCTCTACACCTGAGAGTCATATAAAATAATATTGAATGTCAACTATACTTGACAAATAAAAAAAAATAAAGATGCAAAGAAAGAAAAAAAAGTCTTACTGGCAAAGATGTAACAGTAACAGACTCTATGACTTCTGTTTCTATTATTCTCTGACACTATCCACCCTTCAACAAATGCTTCCCATATTTTTTAAATTAATTATTTTTATTGAGTTATAATTGACATAAAACATTATGTTAGTTTCAGATGCACAACATAATAATTCAATATTTGTATTTACTGTAAAATGATCACCACAATAGGTCTAGTTAACACCTAACACCAAACAGTTATAATTTTTTCCCTTTGAGAACATTTAAGATTTTCTTTCAGCAATCTTCGGATATGTAATACAGTGTTATTAACTATAGCAGCCATTCTGTATATAAGGCTTCACTTATTTTACTGGAATGGAGGGAGATGTAGAGAATTTAGAAAGCAGGCAACATTGGGTTAACTCTGGGCAAAAGGAATAACTTTATTCCTTAAACAATGGGTAACTATTAAAAGTTGGCTCATTAATGTTCGAATTTCCTGCTCAGTGGAGCTCACATTAGATTTGTTCCATTCATGTTACATTAAAAACAGTAACAAGAACTAGTATATTAAGTGTTTTCTACAAGAATCACATCACCAGAGCTAATCATCTACCCAGAGCTAATGGCAGAATGGTTTCCACAATAAAATTGGCTGTGTGCAGATGGGATGCTGAGTCATCTAATTAGGAATATTAGATTGTCTTTTCTTTGTTTAAAACCTTTGATTCTTTCCTACTACTTATTGAATAACATGTGAAACATTTTTTCCTCCCTCACCTGAGGACATTTTTTCATTGCTTTTAGTGAGAGAGGAAGGGAGAGAGAGAAACATCAATGTGAGAGAGAAACATAGATTGTTTGCCTCCTGTACTGGGGGTTGAAATGCAACTTAGGTACATGCCCTGACTAGGAATCCAACCCACAACCTTTTGGTTATAGGATGACACTCCAATCAACTAAGCCACACTGGCCCAGGCACACATGGAACTTTTTTTAAAAAATAGTTTTAAATGTTTTATTTATTGATTTGAGAGAGAAACATCAATTTTTTCCCACTTATTTATGAATTTATTGGTTGACTCTTGTATGTGTCCTGGCTGGAGATGGAACCTGCAAACTTGGTATAGCAAGTGGAACTTTTTATAACAGCTACAAAATCCTCTCCAATCTGGCCCCAGCCTACTTTGCTAGCTTTCCATACCAGTTCCATTTAATAGAAATATAATGCAAACTACATGTATAATATAAAATTTTATAGTAGCCACATTTTAAAAAGTTAAAAGAAACAGGTGAAATTAATTTAAATTATATTTTATCCAACCCAGTATATCCAAAATATTATTTTGATATGTAATCAATATAGAACATTATTAATGAGATATTTTGCATTATTTTTTTCCACAAAGCTTATTGATCTGATGTGTATTTTACACTTCCAGCACATCTCAATTTGGACTATCACATTTCAAGCCACAAGTAGCTGGTGGCTATTATATTGGACAGCGTGATTCAACACAATGTCAATCTTATACGCAATATTCAACACTTCAATCAAAGCGGACTCCTCAGTTTTAAGGTCATGTCTTCTAATTCCTCATCCCTCTCCTCTCTTTATATTTATACCGTGCTTCTTCAAACTGCATCGCCACCTCTTGAAATCCTATTCGTTTTTTAAGGACCACCACAAATGATAACTCTTGTACAAAACTTTCAATGATTATGTTAAATGGGAAGGAAAGATTAATTCAAGAGACTATAGACACATTCAATGTACAGATTCAGTCATAGAGCCAAACGTTTATTACTCACATTGGAAACATAAAATCGAGCCCTGGCCAGTTACCTCAGTTGGTTAGAGCATCATCCCCGCACAATACACCAAGGTTGTGGGTTCGAACCCTGGTCAGGGCCCATATCGATGGTTCTCTTTCTATAAAAATTTAAAAAAATAAAATAAAATAGGGCCTGTTATGTGTTGTTACATGTTACAACATGTACAAATGTCAGCTCCATGTGAATTAAAGGCCTAAATGTGAAAAACAAATGTTTAGTATTTACTTAGTTGAATTTAGTTAACAGTAACATTTTTAGGAAATCAAAAGTTATAGGCAGATTTTTGACTGCATGGAGTCAGAGCCCCTATCCCTTCGCTGTTGTTGAAGGATCAACTGTAGTTGAAGTCTCTCAGGGAATTTTTTGCCTGCAGAAAAACAAAGGAGTTAGGAATGGGATGCGGTAGCTGTCTTCAAATAACTGAATAAAATTCATACTGCAAACAATGAAGCCTTACTCTTTTCCAAAGTGCAGAATTGAAACTAATTGAAATTACAGAGTAACATATTTCCGTTCAGAAAAATCTTCTAACATTTATAATCATTCTGAAATAGAGGTATTTGGGGGAGGTAATGCCATTGGCAACTGCAGAGGTTGAAAACAGCCTGCTTGAGAGGCTTTTTGATGCCACTTTTATATTGGAAGAGATTAGCTATGATCTGGTTGTGTGATCCAGATAAGCTCCATCTCATTGTTCTTTGCACCTCTCTTTTAGCATTTATCACATATCTTGAAGTAATCCGAGCCTATTCTGGTGTTATTTTCCCTAATTAACGACAACACTACGGTGCCGTTTCCTTTCTTCAGCCACCTCCGGGGATTAAAAAATGAAGAACGCTGAGGAACACAGTAGCGTTCTTCTGATGAGCTGAAGCCCGCCTCTGAGGATGTTCTTAGGTTTCTCCCCTTCCAGTTTTTTGATCTCTTAGGACACATCCGCAGATAGCGCAAGACCTCGCGATTTCCTGAATATTCGCTCTTCAGACCTCACAACTCTTAGCCGCCAGGTTTCGCGACTCCGTCTTCCGGACTGGGATCTACTCTATGGTAAGGCGAAGTCATCCTCTCTAGCTCGCTAGCCCTCGAGTTCACCATCTATGGTTGCCTGAGCTTCCCCGGAAGCTCTCCTATGAGATAGATTCTGGGAGCCGGAAATTGCGCTCTCATTGCTCGCTGTTTCAAATTGCTGCTGGTCCTTGAGGATCTTTGACGTCCTCTTCCCCGCGGGCTCGGTGTGAGAGCGGCCGTAAGGTGTGGTTTTGGGTCGGGAAATGGGGAACGGGTGGTGGCCTGGCGGCGTGGCTGGTTCCGCGGGCCCCGGAGCGGGAGGAGCTCGCGGCATGGGTGGCGGCCTTGGGACGGTCGCGCCAGGCGGGAAAAGGGCTGATGGGGAAACGGTTGCAAGGTCAGGACCCGCGGAGGATGAAAATGGAGGTGCAGTGACGTGTTGCTTCTCCGCCAAGAGGTTACAAACCTAACGAAATAGTCGAATTGACGACGTTTAGTTTGACTCAGGATTTGAGGAATACTGAGGCACTTCGGGGAAAAGAGGTGGGAGAGAGGGAGGCTGGGAGAATGACAAGGAGGTGTTCTCAAAAATTTTAAGGTAGCAGTTTTCAGAAGGGCTGCGGATCACGTGTCTCAGCGACATGTGCTTGTTTGAAGAATGCTCATTTTGCGGCCACATCCAGACCTCCGCAAACAATATGAGGAGATGGGGCTCGGGAATATGTATTTTAATCAGCAGCCCCGCTCCTCGAGTTGAATGTGGTATACCCTAAAGTTTGAAAGCAACTGTTTTAAAGCGACGCCCGGAGGAAAAGCTGGTGCTCTCTCTCCTTATCTATACTGGGCAGATCACAACTTTTTATAGTCTTAAAATGGCAAGTAGTGGGCGCCTGTTTAAAAAAAAAAAAAAATGCACACAGTACCGAGGTGTGTGAAGTTATTCTGTCATCCCTAACTGGTTTCCTCCTCAAGCTAGCTGCTGTTAACTGCCTGGTGTTACATCTTTCTTGACTTTTCTCTACATACATATTTTAAACAACAGTGGGATCATTTTGTATGTATTGTTCTGCACCTTAAGTTTTTCAAATAATATCAGGAATAGCTTTACATAAAATATACATGAAATACTCTCTTTTGGGTTGGACAGCAGTTTCTTTAAACGGTTCCCCACTGATGGGTTTTTGGATTGTTTCCTGGCATGTTTTTACAAACTACTAGAGTATACTCTTTCACACACTTCATCTTTGTACACGTGTAGGCACACCTAGTAAGAACTAAGTCGTAGTAGTGGTTGTTTGGTTTTTTTTTTTTTTTTTTAACAAGAAAAAGGTTGTTTTTTATTAACTCCTGTTAAAACATTTAACGAAGTAAATTTGAAGATATAATTGGCTTTAAGTGATTCATGAATTGGGCAACATCCCATTTAGCACCTAGAGAATGGAGCTCATGGGGTTGTACAAAGTGGAAGACTTTTATAGGAAGAGGAGTGGAGCAAGGGAAAGAACGGATTAGTTTTTAAATTTATTTCTTATACAGTTGGCAAACAGGAAGGATTAGTTTTGAGCCAAGACACCTTTTCTTTTGGGGAAAAAAATTGAAGGGTTTTTATCATGTAGATTGCTTCCTTCTGTGGGGGAATTGAAAGGATCCATATTGGTTTGTATTTGACTAGAAAATTTGAGGTTGATTAAAATTACATTTCTGGGAGAGGAAGTGGCAGTTCCATTGGTTATAAATCTATTGATAGGTTTGGTATCATGGACTTTTAGCACAGGCCCATTTTTGGGCCTGTGATTTATTTTTTTATTTTAACACTTGTATTTAAGTGAAAGAATCCAGACAATAGTGTTTAATAGAGGTCCTGAGGGCCTTAAAGAATTGATGAGAATGATTAGTTCTGCTAACTTCTGACGAGAAGTTTTTATTTTAATTAGTATTAAAGTCACAGTTGTCTTCAGAGGTAGAGATTTGAAGAGGTGTAGGAGTTTCTTGAACTGAGTGTAGGGAAAAACCACTCTTTCATCATCCTGATGAATAGGACTGTTTTTGTTCTCTGCGATTTCAGTGTACTAGGAAACACATAAAAATATAAATGTAATGTGGTGTTTCAATAGATTTGCTTAGGTGTCATCAACCTCCCTTGGGGAGTCAGAAAAGCCTTTACCAAGGAAGTAACTTTTGACCTAGGTATGAGAATTTTTGAGAATGGAAGATAGGCATAAAAGAGGAGAAAAGCCTGGTGCTAAGGTAGTGGCTTTCAAACTTTTTAAACCGTGACTGTGACTCAAAAATACCCTATATATTGTGACTCAGTACATAGGAAGAGTAATGGTTAAGAGCTCTGGCTCTGCAGAACATGATGTTGGGCAAGTTATTTTCCTCTTCTGCTTCAGTTCCTTTTCTGAATACGAGGAAGTAATATATCTATCTCTTAGGCTCTCTTTAAGGGTTGAGTTATTGTACATAAAGTGCTTTAAAAAGTGCCTGACACAAAGATGCTTGATTGTTAAGTGTCTGCTTTTTCACTAACAGAAACAGGTTCCACAGAACAAACCTTACCTTTGTTACTCACTTTTCTTTCTTTTTTTAAAGACTATTTATTTCTAGAGAGAGGGGAAGGGAAGGAGAGAGGGAGAGAACTATCAATCTGGTGATCAGTTGCTTCTCACCTGCGCCCCCAACTGGGGACCTGGCCTACAGGCCAGGTACGTGCCCTGTCCGGGAATCAAACTGGTGACTCTTCAGTTTGCAGGCCAACACTCAATTACTGAGCCACACCAGCGCTGGCTCACTTATGATTTCTTCAGTGGAGGGGAGGAGTTAAGACAAGTGAGGTGGGTATAATTTGTAGTTTGAAAACAATATTAAAAACACTGAGAGGTGAGTGGGATAAGAGTTAGAAAACTTCAAGAAATTGGGTTGATCATTCATTACGGTGGGTGTTGAATGGTGGAAGTAGAGACTTGGAGAACAGTACCAAGATGAAATGAAGAGCAAGTTGGAGACATAATAAAAGCTTATATACGCATCCCCAGTGAGGTGGTTGAGTTTTTGGAAATGGGAGTGCCTACTGCCTTATCTGTACAGCTCCATGTAGGATAGTCCTATACTCTTCAACTACCCTGAAAAACCAAGGTATTTTGGCCTACCCTTGGTTATTTTGGGTTCTACTTTATTGTGGAATGATGAGGGAGAGTACTTTTGAAAACAAGCAGACAAAACTGCATCCCTGGCCTGGTAGCTCAGTTGTTTCGACCTTTGTCCCAATAAGCCAAAGTTGTGGATCAGGGCACGTATAAGACTTAGCAACCAAAGAATGCATAAATAAGTGGAACAACAAATTGATGTTTCTCTAAAAAAAAAATAATAATAATAATAATAATAATAATAATAACAACTGCAAAGAGAACTTTTATTTCCTCATTCATTTAAAGGAGGCACATTCTGCCCTGGCTGGTGTGGTTCAGTGGCTCGAGTGCTGGCCTGTGAACCAGAGGGTCACCGGTTTGATTTCCAGTCAGGGCATGTGCTTGGGTTGTGGGCCAGGTCCCTAGTAGGGGGCACATGAGAGGTAGCCACATACTGATGTTTCTCTCCCTCTTTCTTCCTTCCCTTCTCTCTAAAAATAAACAAAATCTTTTTTTAAAAAAAGGCATATTCTTTTCAGCTTTCTATACTTACTCCTGGGTTTATTTTTAACTGGAGAGAGACACATTCCTAGGGAGCTAAAGCAGTACAGGTTAGTGGTAATGATTATTTTAGCGTTACTGGAATATTTTCCAAGAGTAGTAGTTTTCCAAAATACAGTGGGTAAACACATAGAGTTTTTGTTATTTTTTCTCCCCATATTTGATGTGTACCATTCAATATAGTAATTTATTTAAAATGATAACCTATTGCTAGGCAAATCAAAGGTGTCTTATTTTACCTTTAAATATATGGGGATGCTATCTCTTACTGGGTCAGGATAAAAAAAAAAATTACCACAGTGCCTTTCTACTGTAATCGACAGTTTCTTAATAGTATCTCATAACTAGTAAATAATTAAAAATTTCCTGATTTTTAGGGGGAAAAAGACATTTTACAGAGGACACATTGTACTAGGTTTATGTTTTTTAAGTCTCTATAATCTCCCCAAGTCAACCATACCCTCTGCCCCAGGTCCTGTAGAATTTCTTACATTTTGGATTTCACTGATTGCCTGCTTCTACTATTTACTTATTCCTTTACCTTCCAATTTTTCCTTCGAACAGGTGGTTAGCAGTTAGATCTAGAAGCGTGATTAAATTTGAATGGGTGGGACAAGAATACTTCATAGGAGGTAGGGGGTCCTTCCTATTGCCTCACATCAGGGAGAATATAATGTGTGAATGACCTTTTATTGTGTGTGTGTGTGTGTGTGTGTGTGTTTTAATCTTTACCTGAGGACATGCTCATTGATTTTAGAAAAAGGGGAAGGGGGCGGGGGAGAGGGAGAAAAACATTGATGTGATGGAACTTCAACCTAGGCATGTGCCCTGAGCAGGAATTGAATCTGTGACCTTTTTGGTTAAGGGACTATGCTGCAACCAGGTCACAGTGGCCCAGAGATATTTTTATTTTTATAAAAACTTAAATTATAATTATTTTAGAGATAAATTTGATGAGTGGGTTCAATGCTAAAAGCTCTAAGCTTGCTCCACGTCTTTTAAAGTTCCTCCTCCCCCAGTGTTTCACAGAAGTGGTTTCAGTATCTATTAATGATTGCTGAGGTGGTGACATTTAACCTGAGATTGGAAGTTTAATCTTGTACAGAACTCACAGTGCTCAAATGAAGGAACTAGGTTGCAAAAGGCTTCATTAAAGCAGGAAGCAAAGTACTGTTGGAGAAGCCAAAAGATCAGTGTGTCTGGGACGCAGGGAACCTGGGAAAGAACAGGGCAAGTGGAAAGACTGGCAAGGCGCTGAGGGGCTAGGCTCCATTGTTTATTTTTAGAGCAGTAGCAAGCTATGGAGCAGTACTTGGCACTGTAGGATTGTTCTTTACCCCCTTTATTTTGTTTTTAATCTTGGCTGTAATGGCAAGTTTGGATTGAAGTGGGGTTAGAGAGACCAGTTAAAAGTCTGTTGCAGTGATGCAGGCAAAAAATAACACTATTTGCTTTGGGAACATTGTCCTGAAGATGAAGAGAAGGGATGGTTTTGAAAGATTTTGGAGTTAAAAGTCTGTAAGGTTTGATGATGTGATAATGGTGGGGGAGGGA